ATCACTGCAGCGATCAGATGGACAACCGGTTAATCAGGTAATCGGAATCATGGTTCTTTACTCTGAAGGTCATTATTATCACTGCATTTCCTTGACACTCAACAAATATCTAATAGTGATTTTCGAATGCATTGCCTCTGAGAGAAACCCAACCACTGCTTCAAATACGTAAATTATGAAATTAAAGAATTCCTTCTTTACTTCTAGTGGCATAGTCCATTTGACTACAAGGATTTTATTTACTGCAGGAAGCTGGAATGTTTGTTGGTGGATACTGCAAAAAATTGTGAATAAAAATAAATTGTAATGTAGGAAGTACTAATCGCTAAAACGCTTTGAATTAATTTGGGTGACATAGATATAGAATTATCTATTGAAGGTCAAACGTAGAATGATGGCTCATATCTACATCCACAGCGTGTTTAAACAAGATTATTCAAATCAATTTAAATTTAATATTTATGCCTACAATTGGCGCAGAACTTGAACCTTCAAACATAATTCAAAAATTGTACTTGGGTTTTAAACCAATATTTAGTCACAGAAAAATGCTTACTCTCAGTGTAATTTCGTGTCATCAATTTCCTTCTCAAAATCTAAAACGACTTGAAATGTGATATTGATTTGCCCAAAATTTATTTGAGCAGTAAATTTGAAACAAATACTGTGATTAGAAATATATAATTATACTGACATGACAAGCAATAAATTAAATAAATGCAAGTAAGAAAATCGAGTTTGGACAGTTTAAATAACTGAATGGACGTACCTGCTTCAAATGCTTCTGTGTCCTCAAGTTCAAGGCCGGTTAAATACAGAATCGTATCTTGTCTGCCTTCGACGATATAGACCTCGTCGAGTAACATTGGGTAAAATATATTTGCAGTGAACCATATTTTACAAGCTTTTAAAATATAACTTTTTAATCACAACTTTCACATTTGAAGATGGCTGACTTCTAGGTTGTTACACCATGCATTCTGGTAGTAGTTTGCCAAAGTTTCAGGGGTACTTGCTGCCTTCATCGTCAAGGCGATTGCCCTGACGATGGAGGCAGCAAGAACTTTTAAAACTCTGGTAAACTACTACCAGAATGCATGGCCCAACAACCCAGAATTCATCTATTCATGTACTCGCCGCCGTGATAATCTTAAATCTCAACTTTCATACCTTTTTTGCATGTAGATCTGATAATCAGGACTTTATTCACTCTGCAACGTGGGTTGTTCGTGAAAGGTTGGCACATTACGCAGAATTATGCTCTTAATTTAAAATTTTTTATTGTCGTTTAGATTTTATACTTTCAGAATCAGAGTGATTCACTAACTGCGATAATTTGAGCTTTATTTAATGCAACTTAGCGGTCGGCTGGGGACGAGCCGAGGATATCGTCTTCGTTGTACAGAATCGACCTGATCCAGTCGGAGAAACAAGACACTTCTGTGTAGATGCCGGGCAGGTTGGGGCGAGCACAGCCGATACCCCAGCTCACTACGCCACATAGATAATAGAGGCCGTCGGTGTGCAGGCACACCAACGGGCCACCGGAATCACCCTGTAGCGTGAACACAGAAACAGCTTAGAAATGTACCTAGTGCATTCTTCACAATCCAACTAATTTGGTTTCTAAAAAAGTGTATGATCAATTAAATAACTCCATGTATCATTATAATATTATCTAACTCCGTGGGACAGTTATTCTTAAGAAACATATTATTACTGAGCTAGTCATGAAATAAATTTTTTTCCACAATTTCTTAATCTAGAAGGTTAGTTGCCGTATTTATAAGAGCCCGTCACGTGGTCCGTGTACTGAACTTATTAAAATATCATATTTTTGTAATTAAACTCTATATTGGTTGTGTGAGAAAATATAATTTTAGTAGGAATATAAGACACATGACAGCTCGTGTAGGTCTTCAGTTAAGATAGCACCTTTAACTACCCTCGAAATAATTGAATAGTGAAATATTAATTACGATGTAATAATTGTAACGCTTATGTTCTGTTTCATATATATGACTTTGTCGTCATATATAAAATGAATTTTAGATTTATGTCTGTTATTAGGTGTAAAGTTGTAAAGTAGACGACCTGTAAATAAAATAATATTTACAGCTCAATTCTCTACGTGATTGCGTCTTTAGTGTAATATTCGCTGGATGGACTATCTAGCCACCATTATGTGTTCGATTAATGTCGTAATAACACTGGTCACTCGTCCTGCGGTAATGAAGAACAAATCTAACAAAGGCTAAAAATGTTCAGAGACAATTGTACTCAATCATAAAAACTCTTTATAGATATAAATCAACCTGTGAAATGGAAACTTTTAATTGAATTAATTTATTACAAATTACCGTTTAAAATAAAAATTTCTTAATGACGTACATTATTTTCAAAAAATACTGCAAATCTGCTAACCCCGTTGTATTGATACGTATTCTGACATCTGAAAATACAAAACGAACATGTAGTAAACATTAATTATGTATGATGCAGAAGCAGCGATTATCATTTGACCCGTCTTTGAAACAAGCTTTCTGGATGGCCGATTTAAGAAAATCTTAACATTATATTTGCTGAGTATTCTCCGTTGTCTCTTTTGTTATTCTGAGTTTATTTAGAGCGTTTTACATAGAATTAGCATACCACAGAATTGCACACGTGTAAATCTCTCGAAGTATCAAACTTCATGTATATTTACAACTGTCTGTCAGTTGTCATGAAACAAGGAACGGTCATTTATGTCGCCTGCGATCACAAAGTTATTTTCCATTAGGCTGATGGAAAAAAATGACACCTAAAAAAGTCATGTAACGTCATCGGAATTAACTGCCTGTCCCTGAAACCTTTAAATGTATCATAATTTATATCTCCAGATCTTCCTCCGTCGTTCCAGATGTTCATACTTAAACGAGCTGTCCATAGACGCCTGCTTTGAAATTTTATAACTTCACTCTTGGATATGTCTTGTAGCCAATTTTGTCGGCGGTCTTCGGTTTTATTTATAATATACAAAATACTTAATTTTTCTCTAATATCTGTGTATAGTTGGTGAGTAATCTTACATTAAATGTGGAGTGAAAGTAGCAGAATTATCATTCGTGCTACTTCTAGTTTATCGCCTTCCTATTCGTTAATACCCATATCTCAGTGCCATTTTTTGAAAATTTCTATCACTGTGATATGTCTTTTTAGTCTTGTTTATAATAACAGTTGTCAGACAAAGGTTTTATTGATAGTACCACACAGCTTAATCTCTTTGCTTAAGTATCATCATTAAAGTTTAGAATCTTGTACAGACTAGTTTCATTCCAAACTAAAAAATATCGCGCGGCCGCCATGTTAATTTTATCGAAGATATTGGTCGAGGAAAAATGTCACTGGATGGGATAATCTACAACATAATGAAAATCGGACACTTTGTTCGAAAATTACTTTGAAACACGTACTATATATTCATAGATGCACTTGTGATAAAAGTTTAAGTATTCTTTTGCAGCTGTCAATGATTAGGTCTGCTGCAATTTAGAATCAGTTATTATAATATAAATATTTAAGACATTTCATAAAAATCCTTACACAGGCCCATGCCATGGTGTCTCTCTACTCATGAAACATGAATTGCAAGTTATATATATATGTCGCGAGTGGGAATTGAACCTGTGATTCCAGCGTTGAAGCATATGTTAAACTTACTTCGCAGTTTATGGTTTGTAAAGTATGAAAATATATAACATTTAAATTTAATCTCTTTTGTCATAACTTCGATTTTCTCTTTCTTAAAGTTACGAAAAAGAAATGGAGATAAAGCCGTGACTAATTTACAGTTCTCTGAAAATATCAGAATAAAATCAACCTCATACGACGCATACAAATAGAACAACAGAATAGGTAATTAATAAACGATTCGTTTCAGTGTAACTTCAGCGTGTTTGTTAGTAAAAATAATTTAAAGTTATCGTGGAATAATATTATGTGCAACATACAATCTTAATTTTACAAACAAGCCTTTCATGATTTATAAATATGGTTTCACATAAATCAGTCTGTATCACCGGCTCTTGAAAATATTGTTTTTCAAATATGAAATGAACATTGAATGCCAGGCACAGATAAGATGGACATTTGCTCTTTGTATTCTCCGTTTGTAACATACAGAGTGCCCAAGAAGTCACCAGATATCTATGGTAATGAGAACGCAGTATTATTAAGCTGTACTGTGAATTTCGTCTCCTCACTCAATTCTCATTGAATTTGGTATTCCAAAGAAACTAGTGAGTCTAATAGAAATGTACTTAAAGGAAAATTGTAACATAATTCGTATAGGTAAATATTTATCTGACTTATTTTCCATCAAGAACTGTCTGAAACAAGGAGATGCTTTGTCTACATTGCTCTTTAATTTTGCGCTAGAAACTAAAAAAACAGGCAGGAGGTTACACAATTGAATGGGACACATCAGCTAGTGGCATATGCTGATGGTTTTAATTCATTAAGTGACAATACAAATAAAATAAAGACTAACACAGAAGTTTTACTACAAGCTAGTAGACAGGAGGGGTTGGAAGTAAATTCAGTACATGTTAGCATCTCGTCGTCAGCAGACAGGCGGGCAGAATTATCTTAGGGTAGCTAATAAATCCTTTGAAAGTGTGACAAAGTTCAAATATTTGGGGACAACAACGACAAATCAAAATTATATTCACGAGAAAGTTAAGAGAAAACTAAATTCTGGAAATGCTTGCTACTTCTCAGTTCAAAATATTTTGTCTTCCCGTCTGATTTCTAAGAACCCGAAAATTAAAGTATACAAAACAATAATTTTGATTGTTGTTTTGTATGGGTGCGAAACATGGTCTCTCACTCAGAGGGAGGAACACGGATTGCAGGTGTTTGAGAACGGGGTTTTGAGGGGGATATTTGGTCCTAGGAGAGAAGACGATGGGGTCTAGAGAAAACTGCATAATGATGAGCTTAAAAATCTGTACTGCTCCCCCAGTATTGTGAGGGTGATTAAGTCGAGAAGAATGAGATGGGCGGGACATGTAGCGCGCATGTATGAGACAAGAGGTGTGCACCGGGTACTGGTTGGGAAACCTGAAGGGAAGAGACCGCTGGGGAGACCTAGACGTAGATGGGAGGATAATCTCAGGCGGGATCTATGGGAGATAGGAGTCGAGGGAGACTGGATTTTGTTGGCCCAGGACAGGGTCCGGTGGAGGGCTTTGGTTAATTTTATGATGAAACTTTGGGTTCCGTAAGCCATTTAATTAGTTCATTGGATCACCCCTGAACACATAACTGGTTGCGTATCAGTCTGTCTCTTTTCACTCAATGAATGCCAATAAACTTCAAACTGTGACAACTCTGATTAAGTATAATTGGGACGTAGCAGATTATCTGAAGATGAAACGCTTCGTATCAGAAGTTCAAGGACATAATTTCGCGATGATGATAACTGCAATATTTTGCGTTCACTACGGGCAAATTTTCGTCTGCGCCATTATTTGGTGCAAATATTCAACTATACAATTAAAATAAATGTAATACCTCCACTCGGAATACCTATGCCTAGGTGGGAGGGTAATATTAAAATTGATTTTAAGTAAATAAGATTTGCGGGCGTGAATTTGATTCATTTGTGTCAGAATTGGTACCGGTGGCGGCCTCTTGTGGACACGGTAATGAAGTTTCGGGGTTCAATTACGTGCAGGGAATTTCTTGACTACCTGAGCAAACTATTAGCTTCTTAAGGGCTCTGATCCATGAAGTTAGTTAAGATTTTCTCTCCTATGAGGTCCATAAGGAGGTGTACAGAATTATAATACCGGAACAAAACTGAAAAATTAAAGAGTTATTTCTTGCCAATACCAGACAATTTATCATTCACAATCATTTTGCCATATCACATTCGATGATATATAACCTGAATAGTTGATACGACGGCGTGAGATATATAAATAACGAACCAGCCCCCATTTACTATGCGTTATCATGACGGAGTATATAAATTATTTTATTTTCTGAGTTCCTTTTTTGGTCGCGTTATGAATAACGCGTTTTATCTAAAAGAACTCAATCATGGTCAAACTAGAAATAAAACTACGTTGTGTGTTGCTAGACTGACAGTGACGCGTAAAGCCATATTGACTTCTACCAGACTA